CAAAAATTAAAATCCTTATATCTCAATCAAATCTCATGCTGACTCAAGAAAATTTTCAGAAAAGGCTTAAAAGGTGTCATATGTTGTTGGCCACGCCAAAAAAGTGGTCCAGCACAATACTGATGCTCTGAGGTTTTTCAGAAGGTTTCTGGAAAACCTTAAGCCAATCCTCAGCTCACATTCACCTTTTTCGTCTTCGATTATGCTTTATGAGCTGTCCTGAGCATTTGCTGCCAACCATTTTGAAACGGAGAGTATTACCCGGAGTAGTATCTTGACAGTTGTTCGATGTGGGCATATGTTTGAGAAGCTTGTCAATAGCTCGTTTTGAAGTGCGGAAAAGTGTCTTTCTTTTCATGCGTGAGCTTTGGTCAAAGTCTTTGAAATTGTACGAAAAATTTGAGAAACAAAGTAAATGACCTTTATTGAACTCGTGACGAAAACTGGTAAGAAATAATTTTTTCAAGGAGATCAGGAGCAAGTTTTGAAAGTTAGAAGTATCTGGAAGTAAAAAAGCATTTGCGATAATTTTCACTCGAAACCATATTGGGCCATTTCCCACCAGAAGCCGATACCCGTCCTTTTCAAAATCCACCCAGTTTCACCAAGTTGTACAGTTTAAGAAGGTTGAAATTATTTTTCATACGCAGATTTTATCTAAAGATCGTCACGGTTTTCTCCAAAACCTGTCCGCTTTATTTTTTTGTAGTTCTGATTGTGAGACTAGACAGAACATCTTCTCTTATGCTCACTCTTCAAGTTCCATGCGCTTTGGTCGAGTAATGAAAGTGTTAGATGGTTTTTATTTTACTATGATCACAGAGGGAAAATCAAATTTTCTGAAAACTTCGTCTTTTGGGGTTCCTTTAAATCGGACAACAAAACAAACATTGTCAGGAGATTCAGTGAGTCTGAAAAGCTACGTACTTTGGCGGTTTTCATGCTTCAGCAGACAAATGCGTCCCTGGAGATTGTCAGCAGGGTCCAAACCACGGTAGCTGAAGACTTGGAACTTGCGGCTGGTTGTAGAGTGATATCTGTTGTATATTCATATGCGTTTAGAGCCGTACTTTGCGACGTAGATTTTTGGAACGGCAGGCTCGGACATTTTGTTCCGAAAGGTGCGCCATCGTAGACCTTTCAATAGGTCGGAGGACTTATCTAATTCCTGATAAAAGTTATTCAAACGCATCCGAATGCACTATATTTTGAAATGAATAGGATTCTTTGCATTTTTATGCTTTGTGGACGCCGCAGCCGACATTTATTTCAAGTCACCCTAGAGCTTTATTTACTTTTTTGTTTACTTACTGTCTCTCTATGAGCATTGTGTGCAATCAGTCATTTCACACGGTGAGAATTCATTGATGACGTGGAAGCATAACGGGACAAAAGATCAAAAAGGAACATCTTCGGTCTATTAAACTCACGTAGAGATAATTACACATGACAGACGGCAAGAAGACAAATAACATTTTAAAAAAAGAAATAAAAAGGAGAAAAAATGGTAGCGATCCTTCTATTGTCTACTGAATGTATATAAGAACACTTCTCCACTGTATAGTTTTCACATTCATAAGACAATTGAAGACGGCTAGTGGAAGTAGTCGAAATAGGGAACAAATTAAATGTTCAGTAATTTTTTGTAAACGCTCAGTATAATTTATTGCTCAGGGTTAAGTGCAAAATTATCAGTAAATACATCAAACTATTGAACGATTAAAGATTGTAGTATATATGTAAAATATTGTTTTCTTTAATACTGAAATATGTGGCGTCTTTAATCTCAACAATTCAATAGTAAAAATTTCTCAAAATATATATAAAATTTTCGTATCTGTCTGAGAGACGATTAACGGTTTCGATTCCACATGATATTTTGGAAACCGAACCAGAACCGTTTTTTCTCATTTGTAGTAACCGGAACTGGAGCTGAAAACGTGGTTCCGGGTAATTTTCGCGACCGCTAAGCTATACAGGAAGGCACACACCATTACTACTAAATCTTTTTAAATTAATTACGGAGCTTTTCAAACTATTCACTGAGCATTCGTTATAAAATACTGAGTAATTAAATACATGTCGTCGAAATATATTTTGTTAATTTTGTCATTCCATTCTGATTTGTGTTTCAATGAAACTGTAAATAGTATAAGTTTTCATAAAAAATTCAAGATTAAAGCACCATACTCATTTGAGCTCACCCTCACTACTTCACCCTTTATGTATATTATATGAAAAAGTCGTATAAGCTTCTTATTTGGAAACAAATGTATCAGTGAAGCCTAAGCCTTTTTTAGGATAAATTACCTGACACTGTTCTTGCGACGATATATCAAGGAGCCGCTTTGCTCACTGCTTTTATGAGGCGTTTTTTATTAAAAAAAACACGGCTGCCATGATCTTCAACTAAGTTGAATTTTCAAGGTGCACTTCTTATATATCTGTATGAAACAACGCTTTTCTTAGTTATATCCTCAAGGTCTATCTTCCATAAAATTACCTACTTTTTAATTGTGTATATGTGGTGTTGGAGCATACGAGAGAGAAATTTTTGTGAAAGTGGTGGTAGCTTCGACAACAGTATTAACATTTCCACGACATATACATGGTTTATCCTGTTGATGAAAACTTCGTCTTAATATTGTTTCAAAAGTCTCATAGAGGAGTTGTGCTTGTGTCGCATCTATCACAGATTCATGATAGTGTAAATTCGGTGACAAATTTACAAACAATATGTTTGACATGGTTGGCGATCTTTGAGCAAGTTAAATGTATTGATAATGAAGTACATTGGTATAACACCTAAACAAATACCCAGCTGTCCTGCAACACCAAGCCAAAACAGCCCACTTTTCCCCTTCCAGAAGCGTCTTATTCGATTAGCGCTTGCCATACGAACATATCCAAAGATAAATGATGATACAAACCAAATGCCTATTATTATAACACCACCGTGGACTGTATCTGACATAATTGGACATGGACTTTGAAATGCGATTATTATAATATATATACAACCGAAACATCCTGTTATACAGCCAGAAACAATTCTCGTTGTGCTCACTGTTGGAAATTTCATACTGAGGAAAGCAGCCAGCGGAAAAGCGAGTGGACCTAGAATAATACAGTAATAAAACGCTTTTTGGCCGTATGGTAATAATGCATAGGTAATAAGTGTTGGTAAAATACCAAAAATAAATGATGCACTTATTATACAAATAAATAACAATAGAAAAAACTGTTTGGTTTTTAAATTAGCACTTTGCCGTCTTGGCGTTTTGTGATCACTATTCACAAGAAACTCCCCATTATCATCGGTAATATAACCGTTCGCCATCAGCTACAATATATAACGTAAATCAATCAGACATAGCCGAAACGAGTTTCTGCTTACCTTTGGTAAAGCATCAGCAATATAAACAACTGACGTCCATCTTAGTATTAAAAATGCAATCAGCGAACACGCTATTATGCTGGATAATAGGTAAAACATGATCGATACGCTGAATCTTGGTTCACTATAAAATGGTTCAAATTGATCAGTTAGAGAATTATTTCTCCTACATATTATTTCTCCACCAACACCTTGCAATAATGCTAAAAATGTTGGAAGTATTGCAGTCAAACTTTCACCAAAAAACATTGCAGTTAAATAGGATGGATGAAACCGTTTCATATAATCTATAAATACCAAGCTTGATGAACAATCAAGTGCTGCTAATAAAAATACAGCGATGATTAGACAAATACTCCGTTCAGCACCGAACACGAACATTCTTATTTTCCATCCAAAACCAATTCCCGTACAAGCAATAATTCCAACAACAATAATTATGTACATAACTGGTATTTCCGTAAAACGATTCCTCAGCCACCATCTTAACAAGATAATAATTAATGGGAATATATTACCCAGGCTGATGACGAGTGCTAACGTAGATGGTAATGCCCATTTCTCAGGTGTATTTTGTACCATTACGGGTAACTCTATCCACAGACCATTTATATCCATCCATGTAGATAAATTCAAGATAATGATTAAACCATAACAACATTTATATGCACGGGAGGATGATAAATGTTTGCTAAAGAAATTTGAGCATTATCATTCTATTCATTAGACCTTTGTTAGCAGTAAATCAAGTTCTTTTGTACGAATACGCTTATTTTTGAAATGCTATTACTTACCACCGGTTAGATTCGGTCATAACCATTTCGTATTTCCGTCAAGGATGCAGCTGCCAATAAATAAATTTATGTCGATTGATGTGATAATAATTGAAACTCTGTTAATCAACTGACCAATTTAGTTGAACAATATTTATCAAAGACGTTTGACAGAAACATATAAAGAAGCGACATCAACATAGACATGGATGTTTTAAATTATCATTGAGTTTTTACCATGTATGCCTAAAATGTCACATAATGCATAATTTTAAATTTTGTGATCGCTTTCTGTTTGATGAGCAATCAAGTGTTAGTATCTGCAAAGTTTCTTCTCTCGAATTTCATTTTTCTTAACGATTTATCGATGACGACAGAGAAAATATTGTTTGCATAGATGAACAACGCTTGTTTCCTATAAACAATTTGAGAAAAATGAATGAAAAGAAAAAAAAAGCGACCCAATTAATATTTACACGTTGTGAGAAACAGTCAACGTTACGAACAAGAAGAAAAAAATTCCATTGAATACTATAAGGTGAGATGAGAAAAACAAAATTGACTTTAAAAATATTTCTACCGTTACAATTGCCGAGAATGCGAGGATGAAAAAGATAGATATAAAAAATAGCAAATTAGCAAAAGTGCAGTGATGAATCCTATTGTATACTACGTGGATATTGCTGATTGCACCCTTGGCTGCTCGAGCTTGAAAATATGTGTCATGTAGGAGTACTACTTTATATTAGTTGATCGTCATACAGCTCCTTTATTAAATCCGCTTAAAAAGGAAGAATAAGGTCTTACCACTCTATATGGTGGAAATAAGCTGAAATATTACAAACTCGGCTTCTTTTCATAAAATAGAACCTCTTACAGTACGTCTGATTTTTTCTTGTTGAAAAAACTGCGCCTGCTGCAGAAACGTTAAAAGCGAGATTTATAAGTCTGTGAAATATCTAAGCTGTTCGATTTAGTTCTCTGCAAGACATTTATCTTCTCTATCTGTCATATCAATTTACTGATTTCTCCGTTTTCCAGTGGGTAAACTTGTCTGTAGTAATATTAGTAACTTTCTCTAAGCGTTTTATCTAAAACATATGTTGTGCGATAATCCAGCAGCTACAGTATAGTCATGAGTTCATTTGTGACGTCATCGTTTTCCTCTCATTTTCTCTTCGCTCTACTCAGTTGCTACTTGTCCTCATTTCTTATATTAACAAGAAACTGACTTCACCGCCCTCACCGTCGTCAATAAAGGAACGGTTCAAATAAATGATGTGTTCATTTACTATGCACATACTTATTATGACTGTAAAAGTCGATAGCTGTCATCGACCTATTTAGCGAAATAAAAACGACAAAAGTGAGCTGTTCGGATTCTTTTCCAGACACTTGTACTATCCTTGATGATGGTAGTTTGTTTATTCAAAACAGAAGCGGTTGAAAAATCCAACATAATTATATTCTTGAATTTTATTGAATCACTATCGAAGCAACACAGAATAGAACAATACAGTTCCGCTATCAATACACACCCCTAGAAACAATATTGTGGAAGTTGAAAGTTGAGAGATTATGGAGTAATTCATTTGTTACGCTAGCAAATTTTGTGACAGGTACTGTCCATATGTGCTTTATGAATCTAGGTCAGGGGTTTTTCAGCCTATTATACTTAGTATGATACTTTGTCAGGTGATATGAAAAAATTTATAAATATGAGTAAAACAGATTTTATCGTTCAATATTTTTAAACAAGCAGAAAGTAAAATGATACGGTCAGTAAAACAATGCTTTTCAGTTTGCTCGAAAGACTAACCTTGGATAATTTGGTGGCGTAATAAAACTGTGTTTCGGCTTGATGTTTTAGTATCGTCTACGTAGTCAGATTAATACATGCTGTACCGATATGCTCAGAAAAGGCTGAAACGTCAGGAGTCGTCATTGTCCGCGATCTTGGAACAGCGAATGATACATGATGGAAAATCAATCGCTGAGTAGTTGGTTATATAACTTATTTAGGCTTAGTGCAATTACTCAGTTCACTTAAGTGTTTAAGTCAGAGTGATCCGACAGATCAAAACAATCTAAACATTCACGATGAACACTTTTCTATTCTATTCCATACTACTGTAAGCGCTGTTCAGCAGACCTTCTGAGAAAAACATTCTCAGTCAATTCAGCTGCTTGCTAGGAAAGAAATGAGACGCGAAGTGAATTAATAGAAATAATATTTAATCTATCCTGATGCTTTTTTTTCAGTTACATATGGAGTGCTTGATAAGAATTGAAGAAGAAGAGAAAGAAACAGTAACATAGAAAGGGAGCAAAAATAATAATATTTTTTTTTGTCTTTTCTTATTCATAATACAAAAAATATGAAGTCGACTACTGTTACAGTGGCAACCAAACACGCATTACATATAAACTATACGTTTACAGAGCTGTTTTCATCACAACGGGTCGATGCGATCTTCATATACAGAAGGTGCAGATAATGCACTGACGTTTTTCGACCTTTGGGGAAGAAAACTAAGTGTATTAGAGAGTACCTTGAAATACCGAAAAATTTTACGAGCAACAGTACTAAACTCAAAATGATTTGGTACCTATTTTAAAACGGTTACCACTGTCACATTGGTCGACTTCGTATTTTGTGTATAAACAAGAAAACACAAGAAAATATTATTATTTTTGCTCCCTTTCTGTGTTACTCTTTCGTCCTCTCCTTCTTCAATTCTTAATAAGCGCTACATATGTAACTGAAACAAAGGCTTCAAGGTAGATTAAATATTATTTCTAATGATTCACTTCGCGTCTCATTTCTTTCTTAGAAAGCAACTGAATTGATTGAGAGTATCGTTACTCCGAAGGTCTACTGAATATCATAGGTGAGAAAATGTTTGAGGATAATGTTTTATACTGGTATGGAATAGAATGGAAAGATATTCATCGCGAATGTGTGGTCTATTTTGACGTATGATTCAAATGTAATGAGTGTTTGGTTGTCACTGTAACAGAAGTCGACTTCATATTTTCTATATGAATAAGAAAAGAGAAACGAAAAGATTATATTACTTTTGCTCCCTTTCTCATGTTATCCTTTCTTCCTCCTCTTCTCCAATTCTTAGCAAGTACTCCATATGTAACTGAAAAAAAGAAGCTTTAGGGTAGATTAAATATTGTTTCTATTGATTCACTTCGCATCTCATTACTATCCGAGCAAGCAGCTGAATTGATTGAGTGCTTTTCTTAGATGATCTATTGAATATCATGGACGAGAAAATTTTTGAGGGTAACGATATTTTATAGTTTTAGCTGAATATTACAAAAGGTGTTGGCGTTAATGGATACCGAATTAGCTAATGCACTTAAAATTCCTCGCCGGATCCGGTTTCACTGCAGCACAAGTAACAGGGGTTCTCATCTAGTGGCAATTGATACTATGCCTTCTTTCTAGTTCGAGGTTTAAGCATTTCTTATTATGTCAGACAATGACGGCGTCCTTTTATGCACTTCCACCTAAACTCGTTTACTCATTTCATTTTTCACTGTTGTCCGTCCCATCACCGTGTTAAGGCCGAGAAAAATATCGACTGGTTCTCACTGGTAACTCCACTTTCATAATGAAAGATGACTCGAGAATAAGAACACTTCAAGATGTAGTTGTATGAAAACTGAAAGTCTGGGAGCAGTATTCTTCATATCAATCTTTCACGCAATAGATATCTGATACCTGTATCTAAGAAAATAACGGCTTAGCTGATATCGGCCTATTTTTTATAGCGCCTTTTATACATTCTCGCCAGTCTTTCTG